CTCTCTCTCTCTCTCTCTCTCTCTCTCTCTCTCTCTGGAGGGTTGGCAGTGTAGAGATATATCCAGTGAGGTTGTAGATGGGTGGTACCCTTGGCCAAATTTTACTGACATTTTTTATGGCTTTTATAGCATTTGAAAATATTCAAATTATTTTAAAACACAGGCATTTTCCACAATAAATCCCCTAGTGTCAGCTTTTCTTGAGGAACTGGGAGCTCTGGTTTAGAGGTTGTAGCTGCCCCCGAGAAAGGACCTGGTCATGGCACCTTCAGCACAGGTCTTGGGGCCCTAGATTGTCCTGTCACTGGTTTAGAAAGGTCTAGGCTTGGAACACCTTCCTCTAGGTTGAATGACTCTGGGGTTTACTGGGGTCCCCTTTGCACCTGCCAGCCGTCTGTGTACAAGGACTGTGGTGGGGTGCGCTTTTGGAACAACCACTTCCTGGTGACCCGTGGATTTGGAAGGGAGTCTCCCCAGCACCTTCTGTGAGAACTGAAACCATTTCTCTCTCTTTTTTTAAAATTATAATGTGTTTTCAGAATGTGATTTTATAAATTATTATTTTACAAGGGCCACGTTGTTTGCGTAGTGCTTTATAGGTTATATCTGGCCACAGCTGGAGCACTTCTGGGTGTTTTATGGCAAATTATTCTCAGATTACCCTTTAATGCAGGAGGGGCTGCCTGTTGTCTGAGCTCCCTGGGTCATACAGAAACCCCAGCCTTGATACAAAACAGCTGTCTGTGTTCCAAGGAGGAACACTTCAGGCAGAAACAGGAGGGAAAAGGTTTTCGTAGCTGGTGGGGGTTTTGAAAAATGTTTAAGCTGTTCTTTCCTTGCCATTAAAATGTGATTTAATTTTGTTACCAACAAATTGTGTAAATCTAAGAGAGAAGTGCTGTGAAAGGAGTTTCTTAAGAGTGGTCTGGCAATACTTACAGCATGTCCTGAGGGGGTGCTCCCCAGGGGGGCCAGCACAAAACTCCTGCTGACCTCCACATCCCTGGGCCTCAGTCCGGCTGGGCCAGGGTCAGGGGGCAACCCCCAGACCTCCCTCCCCTTTCTCCTCTGGGCCCCTGCTGAGACCAGCAACAAAGGGGCCAATTGTCTGAGGCATCCCCCTGTCTGAGGGGCTCTAGGAGCCTTTCTGAATGCCAAAGTGTATCCATGCACGTTGAAGTGTATGTGTGTCTATACATATGTTTATGTATGTGTGTACACATGTGATGGTTCTTGCCTATATGTGCATGTAGCAACTGTACAAATGCATGCATTCACACATACGCACATTTGAGCAAGCATGTATATATATATATATATATATATATATATACACACACACTGTGAAGATATGTGTATATACATGTGTGCACATGTATGTGAATGGATGTGTCCATATGCACACTAATACATTTGGGTGTGCATGTGTGTGTGAGTGCATGAGATGCACGCAACTTGCTTAAAGAATTTCTGAGTCATTAGTGCATCTAAGCAGAGCCAGTGGCCTCAGAAGCTGGACTGGCCGGTGGCGGCTCCTAAGGCTGAGGGAATAAAGGATCTGGCTCACTTCTCAGCAGGTTGCACCAGCTGCCTTTATGTGGTGTTTTCTCTGGTATGGAAAGCTTAGAGCTGTTTCTCCTCACTTGCTTTCCCTGGAACAAGTGGGGGAGAGCAGGCACAAGCAGTCTCCTCCCGTAGCCTGTTCTGACCTGGGCTTCCAAGTGAGACCCTCCAGAGATTGTCTGCTCCCTTCCTGTCCCTTCCCGGGGCTGCCTGATTGGATCCAGTACATCTGTGTACAACAACCATGAGATGCCCCGTCCTCATCAACACTGTGAATTAGGGCTCTTTCCTGTGTCCCATCATTTTGGTCCTTAACACAGACTGTTCACAGAGGTCTGTAGGGATCAGTGGCTGGGCCAGCCTTGGGCATATGACAGCCCTATCTGATGGAGTCTGCAGGGCTCAAATTTTCTTCTTTATTAAAATTGTCATTCTGAAAACGTCATCAAAACACATTTGACTCTGAAGCTGGGGAGCGAGAAGGAAAATGCTTGCATTCTCTGGTCTGCTTCCACAGTAGTTCTCCCCGGCCCCTTCCGCCAGTGCAGCTGCCTCGGAATAGCTTTCCACTCTCTTTCCCTTCTTGTCTCCCCGCCCCCTCCCCGTTTCCTCTTGGCTCCCAGCAAGGGCTTGTCTTTCCACTGTGGAAAAGCCACCAATGAAACTTTACTCCAAAGCTTATCAAAATATTCAGTCGGTAAAATTATCTTGTAATTAGCCGAACTGTAAGCCAGAAGTCTTTAAACCGCAGGAAATGTAACGTGACCCAGTGTGTGGCGGGCGTCTGTAGGATGCTCATCCCCACCTTGGCTGCAGCCGCTGCTGCTTTCATTCTTTCCCCGTGTTTCCTCCTGGTTCTGAGCGCTCTTAATGGTCCCTGAGGCCTCAAGGAAAATACACTACACGTTTAGCTGAGGTAGATAATGGAATAAATTCAGTTATGTATAAGATTAACTTGATTTTTAATATTTCTTGCATGCACATTTATATACTCTTGTGCGCATGCATGCACGTGTGTGTGTGTGTGTGTGTGTGTGTGTATTTGTTGGGGGATGGGCATGTGTGTAGAGGCCAGGAGACAGGTGCTGTTCACCTGTTCTATCTATCTATCTATCTATCTATCTATCTATCTATCTATCTATCTATCTATCTATCTATCAGGAAAGGTCTTTCTCAGGCCTGGAACTCACCATGTAGGCTAGATTGACTGACTGACGATTGAGTCCCAGGAACCTGCCTTGTCTACTCCTTCCTGATGTGAGGGTACCATATCCTGTTTTTTTTTTGTTTTTTTTTTTTTTTTTTTTTTTTTAGTGTGGTTTCAAATGTGTATTGAGGGTTGGGGATTTAACTCAGTGGTAGAGCGCTTGCCTAGCAAGCGCAACGCCCTGGGTTCGGTCCTCAGCTCTGACAAAAAAAAAAAGTCAAATGGGTATTGAACTCAAAGTCCTTCTGCTTGCAAGACAAGCACTTAATCTACTGAGCCATCTTCTTAGTCCCTGCATGCATTTTTTCCCCCTGTAAACTTATGCCTCCTTTCCTGGGTTTGCTGGTGTCTCGCCATGATTGGGTCTGTATTTTGGATGGCTGCAGTATTATGCTGAACTATTCTGGAGCTGTGCTGTTCCAACGATATCCAGGGGATTCTGCAGCGTGGCCAGCTGGACAGCAACTGGGCTTTCTTGTCTCAATTATTTCAGTTTGCTCTCTCTTTCCCCTTCTCTGTTCTTCACTCTTTCTATAATCCCACGGCCTGGAGTCCCTCCTGCCATCTTGCAGCAAATGTGGCAACATCGGACATGTCATTTGTCACCCTCTCCCCCAACTCTTCTGGGGGATAGCAAGGAAACATGGATGTGTTTGGGGGTCTTCAGGTACAACTTAGGCTTCCATACAGAAACAATATGACAGGTGATACCTAGGTTCTCAGTTACTGTGAGCTTCTAAACTGTGAATGCCATGGCTGGGCATAAGAGGGCTCAGGAGACTTACACAGGTTCACTGGACAGTGATTACCACCTTTTCTATAATGAAGTACTTCCAAAGTTCTAAAAGCAAATTGAAAATTAATTTTGGGATGCACTAATGTTTTCATAGATGGGCATTACAGATAGTACCAGTACAGTAGTTAATATTGATAGACTTTTCTGTGTTTGTCAGAGAGTAGGCACACACATTTATACAACTATAAACACAAATGTAGAAAACTTCTCCATCCTTACATTACTCTTGAGAGGAAACAATGGTTCCGCTCATTTTAAAATTAGGACACTGGCATCAAAAGCCTCAATGACTTGCTGTTGCAACTGAACTCAGCCCACTACCTTGTTCTGTCGTCCACTGTTTCCCTGTGGGAACTGGCCAAGGTCATGCCTTATGATTTTGACCATGCCTATTTGAGAGGTTTCTGTGATACCTCTGTAGAATAAAGAGGAAATCATAGCCAGGTGGTGGTGGCACACGCCTTATTCCCAGCACTTGGGAGGCAGAGCCAGGTAGATCTCTGTGAGTTCAAAGCCAGCTTGGTTTACAGAGTGAGATCCAGGACAGTCACCAAAACAACACAGAGTAACCCTGTATCGAAAAAACCAAAAAAAAAGAGAGGAAATCACGAAGTTTCATCTCAACCTCCTGTTGCTGCTGCCTCCCGCTATCACACGTACCATCTCTTGAAGTTACATTTCCATGTTGGCCTTGATTTCTTTACTGTCTTTAGAATGATGCTTGGCTGATCTTGAGCTGATGGGATCCCCATAAAGGCTAAGCTGGTCCCCAGGAAAGCTCTGGCCCAGGTGTTCAATCCCTCAGTGGTCTGGGGTCTATGTGTTAGCTCCCGTGGAAGGGGTGATGAGGGGACCCACTCTTGGCTTTGTTATCTTAATGCAAACCTGAGTATCAGCTGCATGCTGACACCCCATCCTTCCACTACTGTCCCAAGACCCCTACCTGCAAGTCGCTCCCAATTAAGGATGTTTTCTGTCTGAGCCACAATGCAATGTTCTCGGCCTTCTAAAGGCCCTTTCAAAATATGATGATCCTTTAAAAGCAAAGTTGAAGTCAAGGAGCTATCATTAAAGGTATTATTTGTGAAACAACAGGGCCCGTTAGGGACTGTTTTAAGATTTACATTTATTATGTGTATCAATATTTGTCTGCTTACATATGTATAGGCATCATGTATGTGACTACTGCCCACAGAGGCCAGAAAAAGGGCACCAAGTGGCCTGGAACTGGAGTTGCAGCTGGTTGTGAGCCCCCATGTCAGTGCCGAGAACTGTAAGAGCAGCCAGTGCCCTTAACCACTGAGCCATCTCTCCAGCCCCAGACATTAGGACATGTTTCAAACTGATTGACCATATTGAATTAATTTTCTTGTGAATTCAGCATGTTCTTTATAGTATTTAATTTGTACTTTTCCTCTTTCTTCTTAATTACAGCTTGGACTGACAATAGCCATCCGCTATAGCCACAGGTAAAGCTTCAAAATAATTTTTTTTTTTAAAGAAATGTGCTTGTGGTTTAGAGGTTTTGGTTTTCTTAGGTCCTAAAGAATTTTGAGGTTTGTGTTTAATTTGGTTTCTTTTGTGGTAGCTGCTTTTCCATGATGTGGACGGCACAATTGAAATTGCTGTTTGGAGGACTACATGGCGGCGGTGGGGTGGTTTTAGTTTTTGCTTATGTGTTGGACGCTGGCCTCAACCTTATAGTCCTGCTTCAGCCTCCCTAACCCTGGGGTCACAGGATCATGCCCCAGCACTCAGCTCTGCCGTCAGTGTTGTTAACATACAGTCTCACTTGTGGCTCAGCTTGGCCTGTCGACTTATGATCCCCCTGCCTCGGCTTTCAAAGTGGTCAGATCCCAGGTGTGACCACTGTGCCCAGCAGCATTTTCTGAATGACACGAAGATGAGAAGCTCTATGTTAGGGCACAGATGTGATTTCCACAGATGTGGTGTGTTGAGCCTGAGTCTGAGAACCAGAGTTAGGGAGTTTTAGCTGTGAGGCCAGGCCAGGCCTGTTTGTGGAGCCCTTTCCCCGCCCACCAAGTCCCTCTTCTTCCCCCTCTGACGGCAAAGTGCCTCTGTTTTGTCTGGCTTCCCGATTTCCACCTTGGTGCTAATCGCATCATGTCAATGAAAAGTAACCATTATTTTCTCGGGCCGTCGTTATAATCTTGTTCTATGAATGTTTGTTTCCAGAAGCATTCTTTCCTGTTTGTGTGCATCACGACATACTGTGCTGAATGAATTAAAATGAAGGGCTGATAAGCAGCGCCTTCCCGCTCTCATGCACACTGTGTTCGCAGCTTCCCCGAAGCGCCCCCCTCGGATCAAAGTCTTGCAGCTCAGGTTTATCTGGTCATTTATTGCTCTGCAAACAACCCAAAGGAATATGGGGTGTTGGAACAAATTTTCATCCCAAAAATACTTGTTACAAGTTGTGTGTACAGTTTTGATAAGTGTGAGACTCAGACAGCTGCTGAGAAACAGCATGGGTATGGGCAGGAAGAGGGCAGCCGTGGGCTTGAACTTCTTGTGTGAGAAGAAAGGTGTTTTTAGGAGATACGTCTGGAGCAGGTGAAAGAAGGCTGCCCCAGACAGGTCCACGGCTGGGCAGGGGTAAAGCAGCATCTTCCCCTTGCCTGTCACATGGGCTTATGGCTGAGGTCCCATAACGAAAGGCAGGTATTGAGAGGACAATATACACGTTCGTTCAAGATGTTTTCCGTGAGTAGGAGCTTTCATACGGAAACAAGGACCTAAGTGAAGAAGTTGATTAGACAGGGATATGATCTAGAGCAGCAGTTCTCAACCTGGGCCCAGACCCCTTTGGGGGTTGCATATCAAATATCCTGCATGTCAGACATTATGATTCTTAACAGTAGCAAAATTGCAGTTATGAAGTAGCAACGAAATAATTTTATGGTTGGGGTCACCACAACGTGAGGAACTGTATTAAAGGCTCTCAGCATTAGGAGGGTTGAGAACCGCTGACCTAGTGGGAATAAAGTGATGGACTTTTTCGCTCAGATCTTTGCTGTGCTCTGGTGTTTTCAGAGGTCAGGATGCGCCTTTGGGAATTAAGGGGGCACCTCTAAAGAGTCTTACGATCTGTTTTGGCCATCTTCTCTTCTGTGATTTTTCTCATACTAAGGTGCCATATTTTGCTTGTGCGTTTCTGAGTGGAGTGTGTGAATTGTGTTTGGATGGTGTGTGCACACATAAAAACACTGTTCTGAAGAAGCGTGCTGTCCCCTCATCAGCATGGCTAGGTCGTTACAGCTGACGGGATGCATCTCACTGTGCCCTTAAGACACATGGCATGCACCACACTGAGCTTTAGGCTATTAAGTCAATGGGAAGCTGGGTAGATTGTATGGGGGAGGGTGTTGGAAATACCAAATGAGGGTGCACGCCTTTCGTTCCAGCAGTTGGGAGGCAGAAGCAGGTGTATCTCTGCGAGTTTGAGGCCAGTGTGGCCTACAAAGAGAGTTCCAGGACAACCAGGTCTGTTACACAGAGAAAGCCTGTCTCAAGAAAACAAAACAAGATGAAACAGAACAGGAATGTTCTAAATGTAGACTGCTCTAGAATGAGGTGTGTGTGTGTGTGTGTGTGTGTGTGTGTGTGTGTGTAAGAGAGAGAGAGACAGAGAGAGACAGAGACAGAGAGAGACACGGAGAGAGATACACAGAGACACACAGACATAGATAGACAGACAGAGACACGGAGAGACATAGAGACAGACAGACACAGACAGACAGACAGAGGCAGAAAAAGAAGACCGTGCCTTACATTTCTTCTCTCAAGCACTAGCACATTCACTTAGGATCCGTGGCAGACTGAATTTTCCAAAGATGGTGCTCTGGTTTCATTTCTGCTGCTATGATAATATGTCCTAACAAAACCCCACTTCAAAAGGATTTGTTTTAGGTCTCAGGTCCAGGTTACAGTCCGTTATCGCAGGGAAGTTAAGGCGGCAGGGGCCTGAAGCATCTAGTCCCATCACACCCACAGTCAAATGCAGAGAGGAATGAGTATGCCTCGTGTTCAGCCAGCTTTCTCTACTCTTACACGGTCCAGGACCTCAGACCAAGGAATGGTGCCACCTCCTTATAGACTAGGTCTTCCCACATCAGTGAAGGCAGTCAAGAAACTTTGGTCTTGCTCAACCTGTGGTCACACTTAGAGAGTATATTCCAGTTCCGTGGCTGCCTGCCGTCACTTATCTCTCATTTATCTGACTGGTATACTCTACAGATCTTAGGTTTTGAACAAGCAGTGGTCATGGCTTATCTCTGCTTTCACCGAGTCTGGAGCCTCTGCTGGAAGACTTGAGGGCTGGGAGCCCTGTTGTCTGAAAACTGGGATTTGCTTCTCTGGAGGGAGGTGCCAGCTGAGGTTTTTGTCCTGATATTTTGTCACTGCAGCGTGAATGAAGCTAGGACCCACTCTTTGGGAAACACAGTTTGCCCTAGAGTCTTAGTGAGTGAGGGAAGAAATGTAAGATAATATCTTTTCTACAAAGCGCTTGTCCGCAGAATGCCCAAAGGTACTTGTGGGGCTCAAGAGCAGATGCAAATCTTAGAGGAGGCAAGGAGGCTTTGCAGAGGAAGGGATTCTCCAACCCTTCTCATTCCCCTGAAGTGAGAAAACAAGACAGAAGCCTCGCTGGCTCAGGAGACAACCCCGGCAGGCTAGTCACATGGATGCCGTAGAATGCATCGTTTTTAAACTATTGTTTAGTGTTTATTTGGAAGAGAGGCGGCATTGGTGGAGAGTCAAAGGTAAGGTGTCATATGAATTCTGGTCATTTCCAATTGCCTCTACAGTTTTAGTACCCCCCCCGCCCCCCGTCCCTGTCTCTCCCTCCCTCCCTCCCTCCCTCCCTCCCTTCCTTTCCCTTTTCTGTTTTTACATCCCAACTGCAGCTCCCCCTCTCTCCTTTCCTTGTCTTCCCCCACCCCCACCCCCACTCTGCCCCACCATCCACTTATTCTCCATTTCTCTTCAGAAAAGGGCAGGCCTCCCATGGATATCGGCCAGCCACGGTGTATCAAGTTGCTGTGAGACTAGGCACCTCCTCTTTCTACGAAGACTGGATGAGGCAGCACAGTAGGAGGAATGGGTTCCAAAAGCAGGCAACAGAGTCAGAGACAGCCCCTGCTCCCTCTGTTAGGAGTCCCATAAGAGGACCAAGCTACCCACCTGTCACATAGATGCAGAGGGCCTAGGTCAGTCCCATGCAGGCTCCCTGGTTGTCACTTCCGTCTATGTGAGCTCCTATGAGCCCAGGTTAGTTGATCCTGTGGGTTTTCTTGTGGTGCCTCTGACACCACTGGGTCCTACAATCCTTCCTCCCTGCCTTCCGCAGGATTCTCTGAGATCCGCCTAATGTTTGGCTGTGGATCTCTGCATCTGTTTCCATCAGTTTCTGGGTGAAGCCTCTCGGCTGACAATTGGACTAGACACCAGTCTATTAAGTATTGCAGAATATCTTTAGGAGTCAATCATTTCATTGATTTTTTTGTTTTTTTGTTTTTGCCAGTCGTGTTTGCTTCCATCCCAGGTCTCTGTCTCTGGGTCCTGGCCCTCAGGGATGAACTCCCTCTCATGGTATGGATCTCAAGCTGGGCCCATCATTAGTTGGTCACTCCCACAATTCTGTGCCACCTTTACCCAGCACATCTTGTAGTCAGGACAAATTGCAGGTTGAAGGTTTTGTGACTGGGTTGGTGTCCCAGTCCCTCCACTGGAAGACTTGCCTGGTTACAGGAAATGGCAAGTTAAGGCTCTGTATCCTCCATTGCTAGGAGTCTTAGCTAGGGTCATCCTCATGGATTCCAGGGAGTTTCCATTGCTCTAAGTTTCTAGCTTGTCCCTGAGATGTCCCCAGTAGTCTCTTCCAGTACTCTCTCCCTCCCCTCTCCCCTTACCTGATCCCTCCTGTTCCCATCCCCACTCCCCATTCAGACCCCCTCCACTGGCTATGTCTATTCCATTTCCCCTTCACAGTGAGATTCGTGCAGGGAGGAAGCCTGACAATGGTTCTTCAGGGCCCAGGTCCAACGGAGCATCAGACCAGCATGCTCCTACCAGCTGCCCTCTCTGCTCTCAGGAGATGTCCTGGCAAATGGGACTTTCCTTGGTGCTGTGTTTCTGGGGATATTGCCTATAGGCTGTCCTGTATTGTTTTGGCTCCAAGGTATTAGAGTTCTGTCAAGTTATGTAAATGTAGCAAAATGCAGCCAACTAGCCAACAAACCAATACTAAACAAGCTGGAGATGTTACAACAGAGAGAATAGAGGCTGAGGAGGCAGAATGACATCTGCTGAGACTCGCTTGCAGTTTCCAAGGTCATAGGCTCCTTAGCTTGGGTCGAAGGATCTGGGATGGAGTGGTGACTCCGGCAGTCATGAAAGGCTGACCAAGCATTTGACATCACCTGCTCAGGAGCCAGAAGATCATAGG